CTAGCAGCAGCTGTCAATGTTCCTCTAGCAGCAGCTGTCAATGTTCCTCTAGCAGCAGCTGTCCATGTTCCTCTAGCAGCTGCTTTCAATTTTATTTGAAACTTAAACAACAAAATAACAAACAGATATATGCAGAAAGAGAGGCAAAGTAAACCCAAGTCTATTTTAATCTATATAACAGCATTATGTGATCAGTTTTCAGCGACATAGTTTACCATGTGATGCGTTAATAACGAAAACATTACTAATTATTATTTGCTATGCATACACACACAAAAAGTTAGGCACCTCCTGGTATTTTGAACTTTTACATGTTACCATAAGTTTCAACTTTAATGCAGATATCAATTATTACGAGAATGATGTTCCATTAAAAAGATCAGTTCATACAGGTGTAACGGTAAGGTACGATATCGACGTATCTAGCACACGATCCATGCCTCCCAACCATTAAAATGACATTATAATCGTGCTTTATGAACTGTAAAGGTCAATACTAAAAAAACAGATATTTTTCAGTGTTTTTCAGTGTAAAACATGGCCTTGTGATTATAAGACATTATATGCATTACATTACCATCTCTGATGATATTTGGTGTCCTTCCAGTAACATTTATGTGTCTGGGATTGTTTGGTCAGTTATATAATGAAACCTATTTTATCACATAAATCGTCACTTCAAAAAAACACGATGGTGCTTAACTCTTTTCTCCGAGGATATTTTCGTACGTCAATCCATTCTTTCTTTTTAGGTTTTTAAATTTATTTATCTTATCCAGTCCAGAAGTAATTATAAGGACAGTTTGTTTGATATACGATAGATACAACATGTTCTTGTCTTTCAATTTTCATCGATCTCGATGACTCTGTCTTTAGTAACTTTCATATGTTACCATTTAGTTAAGGTTGATATTGCAGTAAACGCAAACATGGATATGTTGTATACATCGTATTACACACAAAACTGCACATATATTTTCTCCAGGACAGAAAATTATATCAAGTATATCAAAAATCCCTCCATGTTTACTGTTGGTAACATATGCGTTTAACACCGTTGCTGATTAGTTGCTGTGCAGGCCCATACGCGACATAAACACATTAAAACACCTATGTCTTGTGTCAGTGCAATTGCCATCTGCAGTCATGACAGGTAGACATATACTATATCGCTGACGTTTCCATTCATGATTTTTCGTATTTGGATTTCATATTCTTATTAGCGTCTGAATCCATTTCATCTTTATTACATGTAATACGCACTTTTTACACTTCTTAAGGCACTCACCTTACCTCCGTCTGTGATAGTAAGCGTTATTTTACTTTTTGGCAGCATCCTTTCTTTCCTTTGTTACGCGTACCGTTTACTGTACCACTTGTAGCACCATTCTCGTGGTCCTGTGCATTAAAAAGCGTTTATAATATTGCACTTTTACAGCACCATCCTTTTTTTCACCACCCCTGCAGGTGGGCGATCGGGAAAAGAGTACACCTGCTGTTACCGACTGCATGTATCGTAAGGGGCGACTAATGTCGAGCCCCCTGCAGAATTGAAGTTTATAATATAAATCTGCTGCAACCATTGCAACGTTTGGGATCTTTATCTATCTTTCTACTTATACCATTGATTTCCTAGCGCTTTACTTGATAATACCTCACTTCTTGCTTCAATGTTGAGCGTTCGCACAGGTGAGGAAGGCAATGGGTTCTGTCCCCAGGCCGGGACATACCAAAGTCCTTAAAAATGGCAGTTCCTTTCTGAACGTTCAGTATAGAGGATAATGGTAATAACTGGTCCACCCGTTGTCAGTATAATGTGACTGGGCGGAATGCAGTGCTGGGTGCCTTCGGCATGGTATTTCAGCGTCAGACCCGCGCTATCACAAGTACACCAACAAACCCTGTCTCCAGCACACATACACACTGGAACGCTTACAAATGCACATAAAGCCACGTCCTTAAACGACCTTCACTTTTAATAGGACGTTAAACAAAACAAAAACAAACCAGACCAAACCTTTCTTTCACATTTGATTAAAGATTCCATTGTACTATTTAAAGATAATGCCTTTGTAATAGCAAAAGTAAAGCATGTATAGTTTCTAACTGAAATATAAAGCATCCAAATCATCAAATTAGTGAGATTAATATTATGTTTAAGAATTTTGAGGTTATTATTTTGACCTTTTTCGTTTCCAACGCGATGTTGAGACCCTCAAGGTATTAGTTATACCAGTCAAACTTCGGCAGCTGTCTGTTATCGTCAGATAAACATTTTTTCTGTATGAATGACACGCCCTTTTCAGGAAGAAGGTCGATGAGATGGTGGATTCATAGCGGCAATACGTCTTCATGTCTCTTGTAAAATCAATAAATGTATTTAGATTACCAACGATATTTAACAATGAGAATATATAATAGTAGACACCAAGTTTTGATGGTTTCCTCGGCCGTTGTAGACTTAGTTGTGACGACTTTACCCCATCTAGAATAATAATAATCTATAAACACGTGAAGATAATCTCCTGACGGTAATCCTAGATAATCTACAGCAATATGCTGCCACGGTCCAGACGGAAACTCGATTCTACTCATCGGTTCCAGTTTTGTCAGTGTAGGGACTAATTGACATCCAAGACAACTTTTCCTTTTTCGACCAACAGGGTTTGGTTCTCGAACGTTGATTTATAAGGACAATCCCAGGATGCCCTTCATGACCCAATTCTAGGATTCGACCACGT